TAGGAGTAGGACTCCCCTTTCCTAGTCCAACTAGGAAGAGAGAAGGGGGAAGGAAAGAGAGGGAGAAGGAGAGGGAAAGAGGGGCCGCGCCCCCCTCCCCTAGTCCAATTCGGACTCCCTATGGGAGGGGGCGCGCCACCTCTTGGGCTGCTGCCCTCTCTCTCCCCTCAGGCCCACTAAGGCCCAATACTTCCCCGGGTGGTTCCGGTAACCCTTCCGGCACTCCGGTTTTCTCCGAAATCACCCGAAACACTTCCGGTGTCCGAATATAGCCGTCCAATATATTGATCTTTATGTCTCGGCCATTTCGAGACTCCTCGTCATGTCCGTGATCATATCCGGGACTTCGAACAACCTTCGGTACATCAAAATATATAAACTCATAATGAAACTGTCATCGTAACATTAAGCGTGCGGACCCTACGGGTTCGAGAACAATGTAGACATGACCGAGACACGTCTCCGGTCAATAACCAATAGCGGAACCTGGATGCTCATATTGGCTCCTATATATTCTATGGAGATCTTTTATTGGTCAGACCGCATAACAACATACGTTGTTCCCTTTGTCATCGGTATGTTACTTGCCCGAGATTTGATCGTCGGTATCTTAATACCTAGTTCAATCTCGTTACCGGCAAGTCTCTTTACTCGTTCCGTAATATATCATCCCGCAGCTAACTTATTAGTTGCAATGCTTGCAAGGCTTATGTGATGTGCATTACAGAGAGGGCCCAGAGATACATCTCCGACAATCGGAGTGACAAATCCTAATCTCGAAATACGCCAACCCAACAAGTACCTTCGGAGACACCTATAGAGAACCTTTATAATCACCCAGTTACATTGTGACGTTTGGTAGCACACAAAAGTGTTCCTCCGGTAAACGGGAGTTGCATAATCTCATAGTCATAGGAACATGTATAAGTCATGAAGAAAGCAATAGCAACAAACTAAACGATCAATTGCTAAGCTAACGAAATGGGTCAAGTCAATCACATTATTCTCCTAATGATGTGATCCCGTTAATCAAATGACAACTCATGTCTATGGCTAGGAAACTTAACCATCTTCAATCAACGAGCTAGTCAAGTAGAGGCATACTAGTGACATACTGTTTGTCTATGTATTCACACATGTATTATGTTTCCGGTTAATACAATTCTAGCATGAATAATAAACATTTATCATGATATAAGGAAATAAATAATAATTTTATTATTGCCTCTAGGGCATATTTCCTTCAGTGCGGGATCTCACCGCCGACGGACTCATGCCAGAAGTGGGATGGAGGTTGCCTGATGCCAGCGAAGTGGAGCTGGCCCCGAATCCAGATGAACTGGTACTCCTCACAACTCATATAGATAGGGGTTTCTCTATGTTGCCGCATCCTTTCTTCCGTGCATTTCTGAATTACTTTGGTGCACAAATCCACCACTTTCCACCCAATGTGCCATGAGTAATCTCGCCAGTTTCGTGTCGCTCTGTGAGAATTTCATCGATACTGACCACCATTGGGCATTTTTCAAATGCAGCTTCACCTGCCTCCCACAAAATATAAAGAAGGGGCCTTCTAGTGCTTTGAAGACAAATATGGTCCAATTGTGTCGTTGTTAATGAGTCTAGGGTTAGGAGAACTAGGACTTACCCCGCGATTAAGTTTGCAGAAACTATCAAGGCGTGTCAAGGGCCTTGGTTTTATTGCAAGGACATCCCGGATTTTGGTGCACCATCAGTATTCCCCCTTTCTCCTCAAATCGTGTCACAGCTCCTTGTCCAAGTAGCTAAAGGGAAGAAAATAGAAGGATACACATTTCCCAATCCGAGAAGACGAAAAACCCAATCAAGCATTCTGCTGACTAGGGAAAGCAGCTTGTTAGTCCAGGTATATCTAGTCCTTGATATGGCCACATCTCGAAGCTCCATAGAGGCATTCACATTATTAAAGAGATGCATCCTAGGTGAGTCTATGTTAGCATTGTTCGTGTCCTCTCCTGAGAAGATCAAGTTGAAATACCCACCCACTACTATGGGCAATGGAGCCCAGGAGGGAGCCGCGGCATTAGATTGGATTTCCATCAATAAATCGGCAGAGCGAGTTTGATTTTCTGGCCGTAGACCACCAACACCATTCACTCCTTGAGAGTGACGTGGTGACGAATGGTAGCTGAAAGAAAGAAACAACATTTTGCCTAGCCAACTTCCTTGTAGCAGTCATGACTATGGCCAACATAATTCCACCCAAAGGCCCCACTGAAGCCACCCACCGCCAATCAAAATGCTCCAAGGGGTCCATAGATTTCAAGTCTAAACAACTAAAGTCAAACTTGACCATTTCCTACAAAGCTACCACATCTATACTTTCTCGGACAATATAATATATTCTTATAGTTGTATCCGCTTTCCAGTGTTGCCAAAACCAGGATGTTCCAGTGGACGAGTCGGTTACTGGTGATTGATATTTTTGTGTATGTTTCTATGTGCTAACAATTCACGAGAAGAATTATGGGAGGGTCTCTGCGGCAGACATGGAGCAGTGGACGCGGGACAAGCATCGGTCAGAGCAACTCGGGGAGGTGATGTTAGCTCGGTTTATAAGTGTTCCAGTGACTCGGTGTGGTTTCGTAGCAATTCAGAAGATAGCAGAGAGGTGATTCAATGACCTCGCATTGTGCAT